GTGCGAGGGGTTAGGAAGGGTGACAGCGACGGGCAAGTGCGCGAGAGCAAACTAGTGCACCTTTGCGGCCGAACCGCTCCGGGGTGTAATGGCGAAGGGTGGGTAGGGGAGAGGGCCGGGGTCGGAACCCGCTGCCTTCCGCCTTTTATCGCCAGTGTTTTAAGGTGCAGAGTCGGTGGGTTCCCTTTTATTGGGGCGGGGGGGGGGGGCGGGAGGGATTATGAGAAACAGCAAGAAGTCAGTGTTGGTGGCGAGGAGACTGAAGTCTTCGAATTAAGCGGGTTCGGTGTAGTGTATTAAAGGTGCGGGTGGGAATAAGTGGTTTTTGTGAAAAGTGCTCAGGAGGTGTCAGTTTTCTTCTACCAATGTTGCTTCGACAGAGTTAACCTTGGCGAGTAGTGGTGTGGGTAATTCTAATCTTTGGGATTAGTATATTCACCTGCACAGACTGGCCTCCCTAATTATGCCCTAATCGTACTGAAATTGGCATTCCTCGTGAGCACCGTGGTGAGGCCACGATGGGAAGCGGAACGTCGTGTGAAGAGTAACAGGCCTGGGATTTTAAAGCGCCTGCAAATACCGTTCGTTCAGCGGCGCTTGATCCATAGCTGCTGCTGCCGGGTCACGTGCCGGCCTCTCGGCTAACCGAAGAGTTGAGGGCATTATCTAATTTAAAATCTTTTTTTGAGAAACGTTTTGATGTATCCTTTCAGAAAGATACTTATCTGATGAACTAACTTCCTGGGTTCGGGAGCAGACCAGTTTTAGCATCTTGTTTAGACGTGGGTGAAAATTACAGAAGAAATAACCTCAAGTTGTTGCAGAATGAAATACTGTCTTTATTTTCTCATTCTGTTAAAATCCAGTGGAGGTTTATTTATTTATTTATTTATTTCAGTATTTATAGTACACAGTTGCTTTGCCTCGCCTGAAGCACACCTGTTAATGGAAATCAAGGTTAACACACACGCATTATATAAATGATATGCACATGTAAGGATGTGATTACTTGCATCACCAAAATACTCTTTCCTTTTACAACAGGCTTGCCGTATGTTGAACTCCTCCCCCAGAGAAAATATAATGCGAAGAATCCTGATTCTTCCTTTAACTGTGTGTCATTTTGGAACAGGACCAACCTGTCTCTGTTTCGGTGCCTCATCCATGATAGTAGGAAAAAAAATGCTCTCCTGGGCTGCTGCTGTGAGCCCGAGAGAGCTACTCGTCATGAAATCGCTTTAGAAAGATTGAGAGGGTTATATTTATGTGAGGCCGTGACAGCTCCCCTTGCACTCCCGAAATGCGGTATCTGCACGTGTCCCCTCGTGGCATTTACTCTTTCTACCTTGTGCTTAGGTATTTATGTACCTGTTTTATCTCCCCTTGAGGGCAGGATAGGCCCTACTCTGACTTTCTGATTAAGGCACTGTGTAGGATCTCAGCACTGCAAATGTTTATTGAACGAATAAACATTGTATTCTAATTAGAAAAATGTATTCACATTACAGTTTACCCGAATACACCTGTTAATCGGCTGAGACATTTCTGTGTAGCTGTAATTCTCTCCATGACGGATAAGGAATAAATATTTTAAACTAGAAGTCTTGTTGGATTTAATCATGTAGTAAAACTTAAGAATTTAGTCTGCTCACATAATTTTTTTTTTAAAGAAGCACAAAGTGCTCAAAATTAACTATGTTTCTTTGAATTTAACTGAATAAAAGTTTGTTCCAAGGCTAGGCAAATTTAGATTAGTAAAATTTTTTTAAAGTTTTTTTTTTTGTTTTGTTTTTTTTAGTTTTCGTAAGCTAGTGAGACTGTCTTGCCCTTGGTATCTGCCAGTGAAAGCAGAGGCCTGTGAATAGGCCAGACTGATGTAGCTAACTGTCAGGCCACTTGTTACCCAGTTTTTTGTGTGTTTGTTTTGTTATTCAGTTTTAATTGTATTTTGTGATCTGTCTTAATTTTAATTTCAAATTCTTACTGATGCCTGAGAATGAGAGAAGTTTTTTGTTTGTTTTTGTAAGTGGAGGCACTGGGGATTGAACCGAGGATCTTGTGCCTGATGAGCATGCTCTCTACCACTGATAGAGAGCTTGAATACTTAGTTACTTCTATGTGTTCATTTACTTCAGAGATTGAGTTTTACTAGAGTACAGTACAAATAGGTAGTAAAGGTTGGTCAGATTTTATTATGTATAGACTCCTTTTGGTGTGTGGTTCACTGACTTGTTCAACCCGTGTGGCGTACCTTATGTTCAGAGCACGTTACTGAATGATACAAAGATACAAATAAAGTAGCAGGTCAGTGATGTACACAAGGAACTCTGTATAGATTTTCTGATTTTTATGCAAGGAACTCTGTAGGTTTTCTGACATTTTGCCCTTTTCAGGTTTAAGGATGCAAAAAATGCATTTGGAAAGATGGTTAAGAAAACACTGTTTCTTTTTGTATCAGGACTTCTTACCAGTATTGAAAAGCTTCTGTCATGTAGCAATGACTGTATGTAGAGCATCTGGTTTTTATTTTGGTATTCTTGTGGTGCTGGTTCTCCTTGAACATTTTTATGGTTCTACCATTTTTTTCTACCCCAGAAGCTTGTGTGGTCAAAATATTACTTGGATTGTTTTCAGATACATTTTTTTTTAGGTCCTCTTTGCATTTGAAAATGAGACCATAGAAGGCCTTGTGAATGTTCCCATGGAGTTTTTCAGTTTGATTCTTCTATGTGTGCTGCTGTTACTTTTACTTAAAAACAATATCAAAAACAAATCTAAGTTGGTTGAAATAAAGTGCTGATAATTTATAGAATTATGGAATGTAGAGTCATGTAGATTATCTGGTTTTTCTTCCTTCAATGGTGGGTAACTAGGGCTCACAGAGGAGGGTGGTCTGCCTGAATTTGTGTGGTTGGCCAGTAGCAGAATGCAGAATAACTCATTCTGTTCCACCCTAACACATGATTAAGTGTGGAGATTGACAACCACTTAAAACAAAAATTGGTGTGAATGGCAAACAAAAGGTCACTTAATTTAGCTTAGATACTGAATTTAGGTACTTTCTTAACTTTAAGTTTCTGCAGTGAAAATAGTTAAAAATTATTATTGATCTAGATCAGTAATCTGATCATTGGGAATTATTAGTTTAATTTTTAATCTGTTAGGGATTTTTTTTGGAGGGGGAGGTAATCAGGTTTGTTTGTTTATTTAATGAAGGGACTGGGGATTGAACCCAGGACCTTGTGCATGCTAAGCATGTGCCCTGCCACTGAGCTATACCCTCTCCTCATGAATATCTTCTAAAACATAAATATCTGAGATTATCTGGACCTCCTGACATTTCATGGAATTTAAATGTTAAGAGATGGAAATATTATGCCAATGGTTGGGTACCTCTGAGATGTAAACAGATAGGATATTTTATAAGTTAGTTATTGCCAGCTTCACTTACCCTCAAACTTCTGGACTCTTTTTTTTTTAATTATAAGAAACTTCAGTTGTCATATAAAAGCTTAGATAAAGTGGGGACATGAACTGTATTCTTTTTTTATTTTGCATTCTTTTTAATTGAAGTGTAGTCAGTTCACAGTGTTGCGTCGATTTCTGATGTACAGCATAATGTTCATTAACTGTATTCTTACTGCTGTGTTGAAAAGCTCATATATGTGATATTAGTTTTCTGTAGATGTTCATGCCACAGAATTTGTTTTAAAGGAAAAGGCATATTATTCTTTCAAACCGGTGTCCTCATGTGAATACTGAAGCGTGGCATATTTATTTCATTTGGACTGTTAAATAATATGCCTATTTTGTGTTGCATTAAGAAGGCTTTTTTATTTATTTTTTGTTTTTCTCATTTTGTGCTCTTTTCTGGAATGCTATTTCCTTGCTCTACTCTTCCAAACTCTACCACACCTTTAAGTGTAGTAGATACTGCCTTTTTCTTTCTTTCTTTTTTCTAAGGGTTTTTGGTTACATATCACTTCACCCACAGTCTTCTTCCTCCTCCCTCTTCTCTGAAGACATATTTTTTTGTTCTGGATATTCTCAGTTCTTCACTTATGCCTCAAAACATCCTGGTTATTTATGTACATGTCCATTTAGTCCCCACCAGACCGTAAGCCCATTGTGGGCATGTCTGTATCTCAGTTGTTTTTCATCCTTCCCTTGCCCCCACTCCCAGAATAACACTTCGCATTCAGGAAGCGGGTAGCAGAAGCTGGCTGAACGCATAAAAAGCCTAGCTGCCAGAGATACGTGCTGTGGTTGTTTTGGAAGGTGATGGGTTCACAGGTGGGAACTTGATGATGAGTAGTTTGAGGAAATTAAAAAACAGGTAGAAATTCACTGGTGTCAGTGAAAATGTCTGTAATCAGTAAATTTTCAAAGCATTTCTTTTAAAAAAAGTTTCTCTCAGTTTACTGGGATTTTTGGAATGAAGAAAGTAAATGTGAAATCAATTCCTCTCAGATTATTTGTATTTTCAGGTAATATTAGAACGAAAATATATTAATTTCTATAGCAGGGAAATTGGAATTGTTTTAGTGCTAGGAGAAAATGTGGATTAGGGGCAGTTTGTTTATAGGATTATTGTAGAATTTTTT